CAGGGGGAAAAGAAAAGAAAAAAGAAAAAATCTTCCAAAATCTGAAATAGTAGGAAATTTTCGACTTTAAGGTTTATCAAAATGTAATGCTACTTTCCCTAGCAAAGGGGGCTTGGCTTGTTTCTTTTTCTGTTGTTTCTGAAACACTCTCTAGGTCTCTAGATTTTCTTGTTTTAAAAAACGTACGAAGAAATGTATTGTAAACCTGGGAGGCTAACAATTAACTCTAAATTCTCTTACCTTTCCCGTCTTCAAATATTATAACCACCTCAACAAAACTCATCAAAAATCCCAAATTACCCACTAAACAAATAAACAAAACAAAACTAACAAAAAGATTCAATAGAGAAGAAAGGCACAGCGTTATTTTTATTTAAATAACACAAATATTTCTTATTTTAAAGCATCCAGTAATGTTTTCTTCACCAACAGGAAGTGTATATCTAGGAAATTAGCCCATTTTAATAAAACTCCCTTACAAATTGGATGTCCCAAAGAGTCAGCAGTGAAGACTTTTACCTACATTTAACATTACCCAGGAACTGTTTCACCTTGGTTTTTATTTAAACAAACTATAACATTGTTTCCTATGATTTTCATCCCTGGATACACTACTTGCTTAGGGTAGTTGAATGTCATGTGTGCATGATACGGCAGTAGACAATGATTTCATGTATTTATTGTACCAATACTTAATCTCTGGAATAAAATACACATAATTTACCGAAATTTACTGAAAGCTAACTGCTGAAATACGAGCTTAAAGGTGTATGAAGAAGCATAAAACTCTGCACAATTAGAGTCTGGGGAATTTTAGAACAAAATTAACTACTTGTATATTAACCAGGAGAGAAATGGTTTAAGAGTATATACTCTATAGTAAAATCAAAGAAACTAAACCTAGTCATAGTACTATATCACAAAACAATTTCACCAGGGGTCCAAAGTTCAACTTTACTACTGGGCAAAGACAAAGTTCAAACTCAAATGACAACTTTTCTCTTTGCAGAAAAATAAACAACAGGGTCATAATTAAGAAACAGGTAACTAAGTGGGCCAAGCAACAGGTGAAACCAATGATTCTTCTAGAAGCAGGCAAAGTACTGACTACTAAGTACTACACTAATACTAAAACAGTAAGAAATTACCTAATTGATTCAGGAAAAGTTTTAGATTAGAAACCGCATTTTAAAGAGTAACTCTATTAAAGATTATAACCAAAAAAGGGGGAAAAATCACAGCTAAAGACAGTAGGTGCCAGAAAGATGTTAAGTCACCTGGCTTTTGGTACAGGCTTTGGGAGGGCGACCCTTAGCACCTAAGTGAAAAGAAGGCTACGAAGAATCAGCACTACAAAAGCCAAGTCCTACAACCCAGCTTATCCTTCTGCCATGGACTTTCTCAGAAGACAATACGAGATCATTTCCAATTAGTATTACATCTTACAGAAATAGTTAAATTTTACTCTTTCACTGTGCTAGTCTCTAAATGTCATGTTATGAATATGGTTTAATAAAAAGCAACTAGTCAAGACAACAGAGTGCTAAGTACACTTTACAATACCTTATTAACTTGAAAAATCAATTTCTGTCACAAAGTTTAGAGAAAAGGGAAAAACTTAAAACAATGTTTATGGCAAGTTTCTTTTTAAATTCCCTTACTCTATTTTCACCCTTTCCAAAATGAATCACAACAATAAAGAATCTTCGTCTCTTCTGAAAATAATGTTTTTAATCAAACTCAAAGTTCTACAGATAACCTCTTCAAGTTCTTGACTTCTAGTATTTAAAGTCTTGTGTTTAACCTGTAAAAACTTGCTATTTTATAACAAATGTTGCTTTTAAGCAAAGCCATTTAAGAAAGCCATTTAATATAATACCTAACATGAGGCTATTAAGAAGCTAAGAATACTATTTTTAAAAGAGATTAAAATTTTTAAATTACAACCTGCTTAGAAACAATATTAATCTCAGATAACACAGACATAATGATATCTTGAGAAATTACTGACTCAAAGTGTCTCTTTAAAAAATAAGTGTAGTATTCAGAACTTTACTACTAATGACTACAAAATGTTCTGCGACCATTAATATGTTATTCCCTTTATTTTGGCTAAATCTTTAAAATAGAACAGTGTCTATGGCTGTCAAGAGGGTAAAACTGTATTACTCTAATAATGTCAACTACATACTGGGGCATAGGATGCTTACCTAACACAGTTAATATGACTAATACTCTAAATCTTGAATTATTGTTAAATATAATACAAAGGTTGAGAAAATGTATAACAGGTAGATTAGACTAATGTGAAATAGCCATCTCTTCAGTCTTCTAAAAAAAAATCACAATAATTTAGAATACACCAGCTTCCATGTCAATATATCAACTTTAAAATTTCTAAAAATACGTTATATTCTCATCTTTGCCCCAACTACTCAAAACAAAACACAAAGCAATGATGCAGATGTTCTCATTATTCACTGACTCATGGGATTTGAACTAAGATTTGGCACCTAGACTAGTAAATGCTGTCTATATAGTCTTTTGCACATTACACACAGTGCGTGACTGGCTGAATTACAGCCCCAAAAGTCTTTCCTCTGCCTTTCACACACTGTAAAAGTTAGCGTTAAGAAAAAATTTTACAAATTCTCAAAACTATACAGAAAAAGCTGTTTAAAGTCTGCCAAAGTTTTAAAAAATTAACAACAATAAAAAGAAAACCTCACTACATAAACCCATACATTTAAAATGAATACGATGGAATAGGCTATAGAAAGAAAATCTTAATTATGATCTTAGGAGCATGTGAGTCTGTGTGTATATATATCCACAATACACAGACATATGCAAACCGCACCACAAACCATCAAGCCCCATTAAGCTCAAGGACTATTAAAGATATATTAATATTTCCAAAGCGAGCTGCTGAGAAAGAAATGAGAAGGAGATAACATATTAAATTTTTCTCCAGAATTTTCTAGCATTTTGCCATCAAGGGATGGACTGCTACCTAGCCCAGGTAACAATTAAGCAGCCCATTATATTTTGATGCACCGTATATTCAGTAGAGCACATTCAGGAAAAACAGTTTGGTTTCTAATAACGTTACAATCACCATTCTCTCTCCCACAAACATCTAAGACGACAGAACCACATTCTATCTATGCTGAAACAAAACCAACAATGCTGTCTATAACAAATTCATAAGAACTACTACATACTATCAGATCTCACTGTATGCTGTCTCTGATCAATGCTTTGAAACTGACGAGGTATGCCATAAACGTAACGTGTTTTGCAGCAAATTTTACTAGCATAAAAGATACCAAGGCAAAAGAGCCTCCTTTAACCTACCACTTCAACAAAATTCTGTAAAATCAAAAGCGTTACAGAAGCTTTCACTCCGCTAGGCACCTAAGTCTTCCTTCAAAACCCAGACTCTCTTCAACAGCTCCCTGCAAGAACACACCAGTCGGCCACATATCACATATTGTATCCTCATCGGTACTCAGACACCTGAACCACCTTGACTGACAGAGTTAGGCTGACAGCTCCGAGATGTCTGCTAGTGTGCAAGAAACACTGAAGCAGCTAAGCCCTTCCAGGTACACTAGGTGGTAACCTTGGCACCAAGTACTTCTATAGTAAAGACCCTTTTTCCCTGTTAGAAGATGCGTAAGATTGTTCCAAAGAAAATGCTACAATCCTAAGAACCTTTTTGCACAACAGAGAGCGGAAAAGGCTGGCCTTCTCTAGTCAAAAACTCTTGTCTGCGGGGGGAGATGGAGCTACAAATATAGGAAACTCAGCTTCTAGTCGCAATTCTGTGACAGCTAACACAGCTAGCAGGGCAACCTCGCCAAGCCAGAGCTCAGTTTTCCCATCGGCAAAATGGGACTCACCAACGCCACCCCTCCCCCTCGTCAAGGAGTCAGGCACACCCTAGAGGTCTAAGATTACCCGGGACCATACGCGGTGGGGAGGTGCCGTCGCTCCCAGGACGCCCACCCTGGCGCCCCTGTACCCAACACCCCGCGGCAGATACGCAGGGCCGGCGTACCTGGTTTCACAGTCTTGAGACGGATGGGCTCGCGGAAGTGGCGGATGACAGCCAGGGTGTCCCGGTTGGTGAGCCCGCTGACAGGCGTCCCGTTTACCTCCAGCAGCACATCGCCTGGGCTGGGCGCCTTGCCGGAGACGACGCAGCAGGTGCCCCCGCCGGGTTCCTCGCGGAGCCGCCCCAGGTAGGGGAA